TTAATATAAATAAATAAACTTAGTCTAGTAAAGAAAGAGTTTAGTAGCCGCCGACACAAGTCACCCATGCAGAATCTTAGACATGAAGGGTTGAGGCTTTTCGATGCACTGCCTGCTAATGGTGGCAATAAAGATAATGGACGGTCAGGGCAGGTACAACAGTCGGAACGGGACCCTGGAAGGGGTATACAAGGCAGTCCTAGGGTAAAGCAAGGAGAGCCAAGTCTAAATAGATTCTTAGAGATGGAGTCCAGAGAGGAAGGAAGCCGGTCAGTGGTACACGACATTCCAGGGGAGACACACAGCTGAAGACTCGGTTGGAGATGGTGGTGCAAGGAGGAAGACAGATATTTGTTCTGGAGGAGAGAGCCTGATGAAAGAATATCTAACCTAGATAGCTCACACGGGGATGATTGTCCAGAGGAAGAGGGAATTAAGAACAGACCTAAAGATGACGACACAAAAACCAGGAAGAAATAGCTAAGGTCTATACCATATAACCAGCTAAGTCAAACCATATATTTAGATATAACCATATAAAGTTTCGTTTGGCAATCAGTAAAATAATAGTTCTAATCACATAAAGCATTCTCCAATAACGATTTCCGCATGAATTTTTGTTGTTTAAAACTATAAATACATTAATTTTGTATTCAATCTTGATTTTTAACAACTTTTCCTGCATGCCACTACGTAGACATATTGTTACAAACAGTAAATTGTAATCACGATACCTTTAGAGAAGAATTCCGATGGAAATTAAACTTCAAGTGAGGATACTACAATAGGAGGTATGTGGTATCTAGCCTTTAAATACATAGTATATGTATTTTTAAGTCGATCGGTTCCTGAAGTGATAGAAATATAAATATTAAATAGAAATAAATGCGGTTTCCGGAACCCCCTGCCAGCCTAAAAAAGGCGGAAAGCCAGAAACATATCAGTATGTATGATACGAATTTAGCAGAATGCTATAACCGTGGAGCACAGTTAACATACTATTATCACAAATAGTATGTTAAAAAGGATTAGGAAAAAGAGGATGAGGTAAAGGACGTTTTCTACAACCAGTTAGAAGAGGTTGTGGACCAGGCTCCAAAATTTTACATAAAATTAGTCATGGGAGATTTCAATGCCAAGATAGGTCGAGAAACCCAATTTAGGCCCATCATCGGAGGCCAAAGTTTCCACGAAACCAGCAGTGACAATGGAGTGAGATATATCAGTCTGGCAGCACCTAAAGTTCCCGCACAAGTACACCTGGTTAAGTACAAGTGCTGAAAGACAAGAGGCATCAAAGTTATGCTGGATAAATACACAGCCAATAAGAAAAAGGCATAAGAATCTATCGTGGAGCAGACCGTGATTCGGACCATACTCTGATTAGAATCAAACTCTCTCAGACACTAAAGCGAATTCACCAAATTGGAGACCAAGTGGAAAAAAATAGGTACGAACTCCGTAAACTTAAAAACCCTATAAATAAAATTTACTTTTCTGCTTCTTCTATAATAACAGATTGAATTTCAAATTAAACTGAAAAATAAATTCGAATCCTTTAACGCAGAAGGCCTCAAGTTTGACCAACATTGGGAGGCACCTACAGTCATGGCTAAACAAACAGCTAAGGGGAATTCATAATAGGGATTCTGGAAAAAGGAAAAGCCAGGAAATAATTCACAGAAGCATGAGAAAAGGCGGTGGTAGAAAGAAGAAAATTCCTCTACTTATCAAAAACAGATCAAACTTTGCTGGACAAATACACAGCCACCAGTAGAAATACAAGCAAAATAATAAGAAAAGCAACAAGAGAAATCCTCAAAGGAAGATTACAAACTATTGAGGAAAGTAAATACTGGCAGGCTGGAAATAAATCCGAATTCTTCGCAGATATCAGGAAAGAAAGGGTAGGATATAAAGCGTGAAATACGCAAACGCGAGGAAAATGTGGCAAATTGACGGCATCAAAAGAAAATATCCTAAGCATTTGGAAGGAACACTTCCAGCAGCTCCTCAATCAAGGGCACCCCACAAACGAAGAAGACATGGACCACACTGAGGACATCGACCCACTTTGAAAAGCCAGATATTCTGGATGTAGAAATAGCTATCGCCGGGCTTAAAAGCAGAAAGGCTCCAGGGATAGACAACCTATTATCAGAATTGTTCAACGGTGGCGGAGAACACCTCAGAGCCAAGCTGTTCGATTTAATCCAGAAAATATGGGAGGAGGAACGGATACCAGAAGCCTGGAACACAGGTCTAATCTGCCCTATCCGTAAGAAGGGCTGCATGTACGAATGTGGGAATTACAGAGGCACAGCACTTCCTCCGATTGCCTAATATTCTGCTATTAATGCCTAATATTCTGCTAAATCGGATATATCCCTATTATGAAAACATAATAGGCGACCACCAATCAGGATTCAGAAAAGGAAGGAGTACACTTGACCAGATATTCATCCTAAAACAAGTACTCGAAAAACGATGGGAAGTTGATCAGGACGTGCATACCTTATTTGCCGACTTCAAAACAGCCTATGACTCCTAGAACAGAAAGTGTTCCTGGAAGATCATGACTGAGTTGGGTAGAGGGCGGGGTGGCCGAATGGGCTAACGCGTGTGCACTGCACCGCCGTTGCCCGGCAACCGGATATATGATTCTATGATATGAAATAGTCACGAGTTCGCGTCCCGGTGCCAGAGGGGATTTTAAATTCTCCGCCCTCACCCTCTGGTCCGGGAAAATCCCGTATAGCCTAAAAGGCGAGGTAGGGAAGAACAGGAAAAAAAAACCAAAAAAAAAATTACTGAGTTGGGTGTTCCCGGGAAATTATTGAGGTTGACGAAGGCGTGTACAAATGATTGTAAATGCAGGGTACTAATACAAGAAGAAGTATCTGAATCTTTGCAGTACGAACGGGTATGAGGCAGGGAGATGGACTCTCGCCGATGTTGTTCAATTTAACCCTATAGACAGTAATAAGAACATCACGCGAGGATAGAGGGGTGCACATCGAAATAAAACATAAAATCCTAGCATATGCGGATGATATAGCTGTCCTTGGAAACAATCAAGAGAATATTGAGAGACTCGCACTCGGACTCTGTTACTCGGACTCTGTTAAGAGAAGCAAAGCAAATCGGACTACAAGTCAATGTAGATAAAACAAAAATATGATAGTTATCTTAAAAATCCATCCTAATAACATGGTCTGCATGTAGCCAGTAGTAGACATATTCAAATACCTCGCCTCCAAAATAATCAACTAACAGAGATAGAACAGCGAATAACTTCTCTCTTTCAAGGTTACTGAAATCCAGAAAAGTTTCTAGAAATCTAAAACTAAGGGTGTACTTCGCCGGCTCTAGTTAAAATGGGGCGTGTAGCTCGAAGCAATCCGTCAGGATGCCTTTACACAACAATAAATGTCAGACTTGTAGTCAAGATACCACGTGGGGAACCAAAAACCAGATGGATAGATAGGATAAACAAAGATATGGCTGAGCTTCATGTCGCAAACTGGAAAGCAGTTTCCCAAGATTGACAGAGATAGAGAATGCTGATTCAGGCGGCCAAAGATGCCAAAATCTGTAGAGACAACCGGAAAAAAAACATATATCATGTAATGGAGAAATCATGTCCATGTCTGCAATCATTTTATACTCGCCCTATCATTAATCACACTTTTCGCTATGGGAACTTGGAGCAAGCTGATCCTAAGTCACAGGATTTCTCTCGCCGAGCCGATCGCCCATAATTCAGTAAAATGACTCAACAACATACGAAGGTCTAATTAAAAAGGCAGTCTAAACGGAAATAACATGATTTGAAAAGTGACTTATCTATGATAGCTTTAACATAAACATTCTTTATAGAAACGTGATTCAATTGAAGTAATAAAGAAATAGAAGTGAAGCGAAAATAGGATGTTATCATCCTGTGAATCAGTGAAGGGAGAAACGAAGAAGCCATAACAATACAAATGTATGTGGAGTAAAGAAGATAAATAGTAATGAGAGAATTGCCATAAATCATGGGAGATGAACCAAAAATGGAGACGTCCAATTTAATCAGGTATCCTTCTGCACTTTATTTTTACCCCCTATTTGGGCATTTATGGCAAAAGGGGGGGGAGGTTGTTCTACGTGTGTAACCAACCTGTTCTCATCAAGATGGGAAGGTCGAGATCCATTCTGTGGGTCACCACGAAATAATTTCAATACTAACTGGCCGAATTATAGCCAGCTCCGCTGGTGCGTCATCAATATCTTTCTGCATCTTACGTCGGTGCAATGTTATAGTTTTACTTTAATGAATATTAATCCCATTGAGAACTATCTGGAGAGATGATTTCCTGAGCATAGATTCGAAATGAGGACCATATTTATGAAGAAAAAGTTGGAACTTGTTCTTGGCATGTACTATGGACTATGGAACTCCACTCAAACATATTGAGTAGCTTAATATTTTACAAGAGCCTTCAGCTAAGCATAATATAAATAAATAACGTTAGGGATTTATATGATACCAATAAAATAAAACTTAATTATGTTTAAGCTGGTCCATCGTCCCTACCAGTAATGGAAAATGCATCTTTCTAATTATAATTGATAGTGTTTGATGCATGTGGTAGGTTCACCTTATTATTTTTTATATTAATAGACTCCTCTCTCTAAACATTAGATACCTTTTTTACAACTTTTTAAAGCTAACTTAAATAGAAATGTTGAAAATAACATTTAACTCTGTTTCGGTTAGATATTTACCTAATGGTAACGAGGACTTATTCTATATTAAAGAAATCTTAGAAATAATCTAACTCTTAATATTCTGTTGACGTTATTAAATTGAATTTTTTTTTAAATAGTAAAAAAGGTAGAGAGGTCATTGAAGAGAACCACACCCACTCAAATCTATAACAAGTTTCTCTTAAGCAATAATGGAAATAGTGTTTTATCTGGCGAACTCAAAATAATAAATTTATGAATCAGTTCATGTTTTGATTGATAAGATGCATCAGCTGTTCTATACTGTGTTGATCAGATGTTTGCTATTAAAACATGGCCGATAGGTAGAAAGTCCCTGGGTAGACCGCGGTATCTGAGGAGTTATGAAATGCTTGGAGGAGCTGGAGTGCAGCAGGGGCCACCCCGATGGAAAAAGGGTTCCATAATTTCGTTTCGTTCATGAATATAATTTAACTATGAAATGCTCCCATTATGGCTAATCCCGATTCCACTATTAATTGTGGTAAAGATGTAAGAGATTCGACCTTGGTGAGAAATTCCTTGTCGTCTTGTCTTCGTGACAGTAATAAATCACCTAAGAGACAACTAACCAACAGGAGTGTCTCTTTTCCAGAAAATGACAATCAAATAGTCACAGGCTATTTGGAACCTGTCAATCCTTGGGAATATGGTATGTGTTACTGGAATTGATTGAACTAACTAACCCCTTGGTTTGCTTGTTTTATTCACCACAAATTAGGTCAAGTCTTATAATAACTCTACATTTGTGCTAAATATCTGAAATTGTAAACACAGATCTCTTAGTAATTGAAATTTGCCTCCGCTAGACCTAACAATCAACTTTTGAATCATTTGTTATTTATATTTAGAATTAATCAGCAGATTAAAGAAATAAACTGAAGACTATAAAGTAAATCTTCGGTTCTTGGTTTCCTATCTACTGCTTTTAAAATGTTTATCGGTTAATTCTATTCAAAAGAAAATTTAAACACATAAATATCATAACAAATATATAATTCTAAGCAATATTGCATGGTGCTTTTACAGTACTTAAAATGGTAGTAATTATAATTATGTGCTTACCACTTAATTTTTTCTAATCCAACCTAAAAACATTCTCGGTTTACCCCACAGGGTTATACTTCCCTGTTTTAATTTATGTTGTCAGTAATTGAATTTTACCTTAAACTTTGATATCCATTAAAAAAAAAAATTGCTGTTAATAAAATCATTACCGTTTACTCACCATTTATCAGTTTGGAATCTATAATTTCCTGATACATAATTTCTATTAATAATAAATCGTTAAGGAAGGTTAATGCCCTTGGTATATAAATAGTTTTTGAACATCATAACTGTTTATTTTCTTTTTTTATTAAATATCCAGGAAATTCTTTAAAATCTTCATTTTGAAAAATTTCTCCTAGTGAATTTGTATTTAAAAATCTACAATTATATACATGTTCAAAAAAAATTAGAGACTGAACTTTCTTATTTTAATTTTCATTTCCTTATCTATTAATTCGTGTGTTATATCAGGATTGCCAAGTTTGGAATCGGAGCCCAAGAATGGTTTTTAACCATTAGATATATCATGACGGATGCTTATAGGTAATCATGCTTTGTAACTTTTTTAAAATACTTATTTGACAGGTAAACAGATTCATTGAGACTTTGAATGGTAGTGGACAGAAGAGCCATGAGTGACAGAGCTCGTTCTGGCTCTCATTAGATAGATGGTTTCATGCATAATTTGTTCATATCCTCCAAATTTCTTTTGGAATATAGCTATCAGATTTACTGAATGTGTGTCGTCATTGTTTTGTTTTTTAGCTGAAAGTACAAATAAAGAGACTGTGTTAGTTAATTATCTGAGATCAAGTGAGAAACATGGAACAAACCCGATTCAGACTGTTGTAGATCAGCTTGAGGTGAGTAATTCAAATCATATTTTAACATTGATAGATTGTATCTTCGCTAGACAATTTTTCCTCAGAATTTTCATTCAAAAATGACTACAATTAATTGATGCAAAGCTTTTATTGTTTTCCCGCGATATGGGATGTATTGTAACAAACATAATTGCCTAATGTTATTCATAAAAATAATAATAATATTTTCTAAAATATTGTTCATGTACATACAGTGGTTATGAAACTATGTTTTTCTCCCAGGTATCTCATAGAAATCGGTATGTTTTTATCAGTGACAAACTTAGTGTTTCTGACTAAAATGCATGTTAAAAATAAGGAAACCTACTGATTGCTTCAGTTATTTTCATGAAATGTAAATATTTGGGCTAGAAACATTAAGTTTGTAACTTATAAATATGTATGAATTCCTATGACAGAAATCTGGAAGAAAAACTCAATTCCATAACCACCTTACTTGAAAAATTATTATTTTTTATTTTTATAAATAAAATATGTTTATAGGCATCACCTTTTATTACATGTTGTGTTTATTATGTTTATTACAATACATCCCATATAACTGAAAAACAAGAAATGAAAGCTTTGCAGTAGTTAGTTGTAGTCATTTTTGCTGACAACACAGATACTTTTAGGTAACTAGATAGAAAATCACATCATATCTTTACTCTACTTACAGTGAAACTCAAATTTTTGCCTTATAAACCTCAACTTAATTAATGTGGAATCAAAGCTTATTAAACGAGAAAGTTTTTCTAAAAGTGGTGTATAAGAGTACAGTTGAAGGGTGATAAAAAAAATCACAAATAATTTATGACTTTTTTTAAATGGAACTTAGCTGTGTTTGTCCGCTCAATAGTCCTCTTTAAATAGTTTACCATAAAAGCAAACTCCCCTCCAAACCATCACTGAGGAAGGGTGATGACCTCTTTCTACTCTTCCAATGCCTTCCTGGGTTTCTTTAGAGCTGTGTGTATACTCGATCATTTTGGCAATTAAATTTTCCTTCAATTGTAAAAATTTTCTCATCGCTAAACAAAATCTTTCGATGAAGACCATTGGTGTAACGACCAAGAAGCATTTTGCATTTATCCACTTTAATTATTTTTAGGAAAGTGGATAGCCTTTGTCCTGTCATTCTTTGAAATGTACCCATCCTAAGGTCACATTTTTATTATGCATGACATTGATCTGACAGAGATTCCCATTTCCCGAGACATGATTTGTTGTTTTTGAATGGGATTTCTTCTGGTACGAATAGCCGCTGCTCTCACTGCATATGCCGTTCTCACAGTGCCGGGACTGCCCAGTCGAGGTCTGTCACATACAGATAAGTCTCATATTATCTATTTATAGTGTGATACACAAACATACAGCTGATACCCAAAGATTTCAAAGTGTTGAAAATCTCTGACCTACATTTTCCAACTTTATGTAAGGCGGTCAAAGCTATTCGGTTTTCTTTATCACCCCACTCCATGTTAACTGAGTGACAGAAAAAAAAAAAAACTAATTGGGATCATTATCCTGACTTGTAAAGAAAATAACCTGATAGAGATAAGTATCTAAATAATACCCAAGGATGTAAACAAAGTTCAACTTTTGTAACACTATTTATGGCAGAACTAGGTAACATGTGAATATTGAGTGAAGTTAGTCTTGGAGCTCTATGTACAAAGAATACTTTGCAAGTATCTAAGATATATTGCAAAATGTTATGTTAAGTACATTTTTGATGCAGCTAAACTTGTATGTACATTTTTATTACTTTAAACCTTATTTATTGGTGTAAAAACACTGTGTAGTACCGACCACCTTACTATCAATATGGACTTCACATCCTTTGCCATTCCATTGACCCACCATTCTCAGTCTAGCTTTTCCTCCAGAAGTATCTTTGGTATCTCATCATTCTTCATTCCAGCAACATGCCCTGCCCGGCAAAGCCTTCTCATCTTTATATAACATATGGTATTTATGTTATTAAACAGCCTTCTTATGTCAGCATTTCTTCTCTTTTGCCTAAAATTATCACTGAAAACTGGTCCAAAAATTCTTCTTCTAAGGATCCACCTCTAGAGTTTTGGAAAATGTTTGTGCTGTATTCGGATGTGTAGGTCAGGACAGGTCTTAGTTTTATAAAGTTGCAGTTTTATGTTCTCCTCCGTTCTTTTCTATCTATCAAAACCACTTGAAAGACTAGTCAACTTACAGCTTACTATCTTTCTTAATGAAGAAGCTCTTATTAATTTTCTCCAGTCTGGTTTCCGATCGTACTATTCCACACATTCAGCTTTGATGAAAATTATCAACCTTGTTCTATTCAATTAAAAAATTAAAAAAACTTACTCAGGTAATCACAATATCATGATTTCAGAACTTATAAGTCTTTTCATATATTAAATAGCATTTTAAAGTGGTTTCTATCCTTTCTTCGTTCACAAACCATCATTGTTCCCAATAAATCTCACCTCTCTTCTATATCTGTTTTAATGATCTTTCTGATTTCATTCACTGTTCACAATATCACTTATACACTGATGGCCTCTGAATTTAACCATCCTTTCATTCTACTGAGATGCTAATATGAACCAAAGGCTGCAAGAAAATATAAACAGTATCAACACAAGGACAGTGCACAATGATTTTAGGTTGAACATTAAGATGACCACAGTGATTCTCATTGGTTGGAAGCTTCTTAATTCCCTTCTCGATTATGTCTTACTTTATCTTAATGGTCTACCAATTTGCTTCCTCTACTTCCTTTAATTTTCAAAAATACTTCTGCTAAGAACCTTGGAGTATTTTTGTTCATTACCTTTCTTAAATTACCCAAAAATCCATTGGTACCCTTAAATAGTTCCTGAGATTCTGTGTCTCTTGAAATCAATAGGCTTCTAGTTTCTTTTGGATGGACATCTTTTTTTTCAGTTTCTGCATAAATACAAAGCTTCTTTACCTTCTGTAGTAAAAAGGCAATAATCTAGTTAGATCTTTGTTTAAATTTTAAGTAAAACTTTGTTGAAATTCAGAAATATTTTGAAAAGGTGGAAATGCTCAGAAATCAATTACCAGTAGCAATAATTGAAGGGTTCGGCCGAATAACAGTCTATGTGAATTTTTGAAACTTTAGACGAGACAGTAAATTCCATTGCTAAATTAGGGGATTGTGTTTTTGGGAAACTAACATAGACTATTATTTCATCAAATTCTCAGAACTTGGATATTAATTCTGTTATTGTTCTGATGAAAACTGTTCTTGATTATGACTAAATCATCCAGTTACACTTATTGTGAGAGTGTCTTATTGAGTGTAACATTGGTTTATTAAAACAAACAACGAAGTAATTACAATCGTTTAGAAAGAAGTTTTATAGAGTTGATAACACTTACACATAAATGTAAGTTCACCATAATTGGTTCTCCAAATATATATAATTGCAAATAAAAGCAAGCTTAAAACATTATTAGAAGAAAAATAATAGTTAATAATTTCTTGAACCTCATATAGTGGAAAAAATTAAGAGTAAGAAAAAAATAATTAAGTAATTGCGAGCAATGATTCGTAAAAATCTTTATACTGGCTGTCAATGTATGGGATCATCTTCAGTATGTGTGCTTTTTGATAGGGATAAGTTTGTGGTTTTAAGGAGGTAAGTTTTCCGGCTGGATTTCTGCCTTCCAGTTCTTCTTATATACCTTGATGGATATAAGCAATAAAGAGTAAATCAAGAACATAAACAATGAATATACGAATTACGAATGTAACCTTCGTCAATAAAGGCAACTGCAAAATAGACCGTTGTTCCGAACATAGAGCTCAGGATTCCAGCTGTACACAACAACGAGATATGTTTCTTTTTAAAGGAACTTGCTTAAGGAACAATTATGAGGTGCTACATAGACCGTTATTCGGCCGAACACCTCAAAAAATAATTGAATTAAGCCACATATTTTTTATTTTGTACAATATAATTGTTATTATTTTTCAGTGTTTTGATTATGATGAAATAGGCAGTGAAAGGTTTGATTGCTTGAATTTGAAAAGTGAGCAGCTTATTTTAGGAAGTTGTGAGGCATTAGAAGAGGTTTTAAAAAGACTTCAATTTCACAAAATAAACCTTGAGGATACTGGTCTTGATGATGAGGTTAGCAGAATGTTTTCGATTTATGGATACTATTACTTAACATGTTTTTTCTATAATATACTACTAGTACTCTGTCTTATAATTATTAGATTTACTTTAGGGGTTGAAATTATTGTGATTTTAAATTGTAGGTTATCTCTTACCATTTTAGTCTATAGTATATCAGTTAGTTATATATATTCTATATAGATATATCCTAGTTAAACATTTTCAGAAGTATCAGTTAACTTTGATAAAACATAATTTAGAATAATTATTACTTTAACTATTAAAAAAAATATTGTAGTCATGATACATTTTGTGTTTAATTTATCTGTTTGAGGAGAAAAATAAAACTATTTTGCTCAATAAGCTCCTGAAAACTTTCATTATTTATTCATCATACAAGTACCTATTATAGTGCTCAAAATATTTTGAAGAGGTAAAAAAAGTGAAAGTCTTATGTGCTTTTTTTTTTTTTTTTTTTTGTTCTCCCCTTTTTTGTTGCTATATGGATTTATCCCAGGCTAGGGGAGATTAATTCCAGAGCTATGGATTAAGTACACCAAAAGCCCCACCCGCACCAGGATGCAAACTCACAGTTATATTATTATGAAATATTTGGTTTATCAGGTTGTCTGGCAACACATGTTTTGCACATGCGTTATCCCGCTTGGTGATCCCAACCCAAGTCTGACCTGGTTGCGGCTACAAATCTAACATCCAATATTTTTTGGAGGATGATCAAACTTCTTGTGTCTTTTGTTCAAGCTCTTCTTTAATAGAATCGCTAAAAACACCAATAAGCTGAATTTCTGCTTTTGATGTTGTATATCTTAAGCTTTAAGTTAATGAGCATGTTGACAATTTATATTACCAATTAATTTCTTGCTAGATTGAGGTATAAGTAACAAGCTCAGAAGCATCATTGGCATTAATTTGCTTGGTGAGCATTGTCATTGTAAAATATGCACAACTTCGCTATAAAGTAGTTAAAATAAAATTAGTTCTTCCATCTTTAGCTTTTAAAATCTGTTAAAAATAAAAAACTTTAATGTCTTTAAAAAATAATTTAAAATGTCACCTCTGCTGATAAATGAAATTAAAATAATATCAAGGTAGGTAGATAATTGTAGTAGTTCTTTATTCTATATTGTTTTATAATTAATAATAGTCATTTGTTTTGATAGTGTATCATGGCTTTACAGAATTTTTGTTAGATTAGTTAAGTCATTAATAAACCCATTAATTGTTTTGTCTCATCATATTTAATGAATTATCAATTTTTATTAGTTTTGTTTTTATCTAACTCTTATGGCTCGATTTAAATTTTTAGAAACATTGTTCTTTTCTATGATAAAAGCTCTTTTATTTCTTTGTCAGTATCAATTTATGCCTCATTGAACTTCGAAGTGAAATATTTTGTCATTTAAAATAACTAATTATGTATTTTGGATTTGATATCAGTCTTTGCTATAAATTTGTCAATTGTTTTTTCTTTATCTCCCTCCCTGGCCATTATTGGGATTGGAGATTATTCTACAGTCATAACCAACCTATTCTAACCACTATGGGAAGTTGAGATTCATTCCATGAGTCCACCACAAAATAAATTTCAACACGCCTTGGATGGATTTGAACCAGCATTGCTGATTTGTGGTTGCTATGATTATACCTCAACACTCTTGGCCATAGCAGCCTCAAAGTAGCCAAGTTGTGTGAAAGCATTTTTTAGATAAAACTTGAAACAGCAAATTTTATGTTAAGAATTTTGGATCTATTCAAACCCATTAGGTTTATTTTTTAATTTTGTATAATTTTCATTTTTGTCTTCTTAATGATAACCTAAAAACTGTCATTTCATGTAATGTAATAATATTTATGAAATCAATACAGCTAATCTATCTAGGTAATTACTATAATATTTTCTTCTCTCACATACTCTTCATTAATATTAGTAAGAGATGTTAAAAATTAAAGAAAATCTGATAAAAACTAAAAAACTATTAAATCACTTTTAGTAGATTAATGAATGAGTGAAAACTTTATCTTTATTTTGAAACATTAGTCCCTGAATAATAACAAAATTGTAAATTAAAACACCCTTTGACTGCATTGATTATAACCTTATTCAATTATTAAATAAAGACAAATACAATCAAAAATATGAATAAAGAGGTAAACATTAAAGAAAATATACATACTATGTATATCTACACCTACTGATATAGAAATTTATTCTTTACATACAGAAGATTAATAGTTGAGGGGAAGGAGAAATATTTTATGAATTGAATATGGTAAAGAATTCTTAAATGAGGTAGCATAAATTATATTTTAAAAAATTCTAAGGAAGCTGTCCTGTCTGTGGGGGGTTAATACAAATGAAAATCTTGAGAGCTCTTATATTTAAGGGGTGGATAGAAGAACATAAGGTGATGAGGTCAAAAATATAGGATGGTTTTTTGGTTCTCGAGGATTGAAACTTCGAGAAAATCCTAGGAGCTATCAGGTACTCCCATATCTCCATTTGGTATACCAAATTAAAATGATTATGCTATGAAAATATTTCCTAGGCGTATACATTTATTGGTTCCTTTAAAACAGGAAGCCTCTTTTAAATAATGAAATAAATAAATCTGTTAGAGTTTATAAGATTTTCCTGCTTTTCAAAATTAAAATGTTAATATTTGAAAGGTTAAATATAAAAAATGTCTCATTATTATTTTAAAAGTTTGTGAAATTAGAACTTAAATTTTTCATGAATTATACTACAAGTAATCCTTGTGTAAAATACAGAAAAAATTATGCTTCATTTCATTATAATTATTTACATAAAATGAATTATAATATTGTAATTTTAATACAGGCTGCAGTCGCTCTTTTTGATATGATAGAATATTATGAAGCCGCAACTCAACTTAATATCTCAAATAACAATAGCATTGGTGTACGAGGATGGCAGGCTGCCTCCCGCATGTTGAAACGGGTAAGGTAATCCATGATATATTTTAGTTGCTATAGTTATTTTTACTATTGAAATATTTGAGAATAAATCATTAAGATTTTCTCTCCTATCACTGACTTAAGCCTCATTTCTAAGATAGCAATTTCTGTGCCACTTACAACCACTGCCATTGTATAAACTGAAGGACAGTATTATATTTGGTCCCTTTAATGTATTGTAGCAATATTAGTTTCTGTGTTAAAGATGACAACAGTTGTGTGATAAACAACTATGGTCATGTTCAATCCCACATATAGAATCCTATCAATGAACTGTTGTACCTTAAGCTGTAACCATTCAAATATTGTTCTCATATTTTATTTTGTTTTGTTCATTTCTGAACTTAAAATTGTCATCTGTTTTCAGGCCATTTAGATAAAAAAAAACAATAATTTAACTTATGTTGTTAGCAAGTTACAATTTAAATGATTATTTTGCATTCCAATCCTTCCAGAGGCCTTGTAGGTTATCTATATACAATTATACTTCATCACTTTACATACATGTAAAATAAATCCACACACTACAAAGCGCTTGTTAACAAGATATAATTCAAAGGGCCATTTATAAGATAACCTTACCTAATTAGTTTCTAGTCGGTACCTGATTTGTAGTTTCCTTCCAACCTTCAATTCCTTCACTATTTTGTCCTTACTTTTGACATATTATATACTTCATTTCACATTTACAATCTGTTCTTTATTTCTTATTGTTTTTATTATAAACATTATAACATGGATAGTCTTAATGTTACTCATACTGAAAGAGAAGTAATGCCAGAACTAATTTGAAGTTTTCAAAACTTATAAATTTTTATGGGCATCATATTTGTTGTATTTTCACAAAGATATGAAAACACAAGCTTATGATAGCTTGCTTCCTTCTGAGGTATGGTACCCAAGATCCTTCATGGATTTCACTCAATAACTTCAATTAATAAGAAAAATATTGCTTCCTTATTTTTTAAAACAATTATAATTTGTACTAAAACTAATGACAATGATGCAATTATATTAGTTAAGTTTTAAAACCAGAAATGGGGCAATTCTTTAAAAATATAAACATGAAATGTTTTTATGTGGCTTTATCAGTTATTTAAAATAAATTTATGAATAAAATGTTGGTTCAATTTCTTCTGATAGATGAATTTTACTTATTTTCTATTTGATTTTCTTTTTATCTTCTCTTCCCTTTTCTTATTTCTTATTTGTTTCTTTGTTTTATTTTCTAGTTGTATTTATTTTTGGATATTTATTGAGTCCTCAGGATAAGAATGTTGATTTAGAAGATAAAAATTTCTCATTGTCAAACAGGGATACAATCTTTATAATTATTCAAATTTATTTTAATTACAAATTGTAATTTTTTAACAATTTAATTAATCAAATTGGAAAAAAGTGCCTGAATTTTTCACTACACAGCCTTAAGATCCTTAATTATTCTTCAATTTTTCAATGCTAAATTGCTGGATACCATGCAGTGAATTATAGGGTTTTTTTTTCTAAAAAATTCTATGTATTTTTGTATCCTCACTAATGAAAGTAGGAAAAGCTTTATGTTTATGAGGGTACCAGCGAATACAGGATTTGAGTTTTGGGGGTGCTTCAGCCTGAAAGCTTTATATATATATATATATATATATATATATATATATATATATATATATATATATATATATTTACATACATACAACAATAATTAATTTGGAATAAAAAGAAAGAAACTAACTAACCTATATGAAATGGTGTCTTAGTGCTTGTTGATGTTCTTTTAAAAATGTAATCACACAAACAATAATACTTTTAGAGATATTTTTTTCATAATTTGTGGTTATATTTAGTAGCTGTGTATGCATTATAATTTAAAAATAGAACATACTGTTATTGTTTAAGTATTTAGCTTAGATCACTCACAGTAACAAATATGGAGCAATTAAAGAAAAATAATTTATCCACTTTGAGGGTGGCTTCAGTCTGAAAAACCCATAACTTTAATAATTTTCTATTATGACATAAATAATGTTGTAATTTATTGTTTTATAGACAAAATGTTTAGAGGAGCTTGAGTGTCGAGGTACAGTATTGACTGAGCAGGTTGTACCGATATTGGGCCGGGCATTAAGGCTTGGTACTCAATTACAAGTACTCAAGTTAGAAGCATGCAGTCTTTCAGGAAGATCACTTGTTGTCTTGGGTATGCTAAAATACCTTAAGATTATTTTATTTAAACTAAATGACTTGTACATATTGTAATAATATTTGTAGTTTCGAGATAATTATAAAATCATGGAATATCACTGCTTGAAATCATTGTAAATCTAAAGACTTGGGTAAGTTCCCAATTAGTGAGTCCTCTCATGTTTTCTTTAAGAATCTCTGAGGAGATGTTTAATATCTCATCCAACCTCAAAAACAAGAAGACACCGATCGCTAATAATTTGCCAATAGCTTTGTTAAAATGAGGATGAAACGAACTAATTAAAACCTTCTAGAACATTATATAACAACATATAGCTGACCGAATGGATTCTAACCCTGAAAGAAACCAAGTTGATGAGATTGAACCCCCAATGAGGATGTGATGCCATTTAGAAGCTTAGGAACTGGGAATCCAAAATTTCCTTGTTAAACACTCCAAAAAAGGAGGTAGAAATATTGTTATAGCCTTACAAAACGTATTTGGATTTGAAATAAAATGAAAATAGATTTTTATTATCCTGGGACTTTTGTCCCTTTAGGACAAATTATAGATACAGAGGAAATGCCTGTGTGGCCATAAAATTAAATTAAATATTTACAATGTTCATTAAAATAAAAATATTTAAAGAAAAATGAAACAAAATCACTAAATACATACAATATGTATTGTGTTGATATATACAATATAAACATGTGAAAATAAAATAATATAATTAAACAAAACCATTTCTGGGAGAACTACTGGGGAAAAAAGTTCTGTTATCTACTTTCATGATCAATCGGGTGGGGAAAGAAGTAGGTGCTTAAAAAGGAGAGATTTAAATGACGAAACTGATTGCGCATGTCGAATATCGGGAGGGATGGTATTCCAGGTGGAAGCGGCTTGAATTATAAAGGATTTGTCAAATGCAGCAGTTTAGTGAGGAGGTGGATAGAGGTCAGAAGTACGGGATCAAGTGGGACGGGATTGAACGGAATATTTAAATTGTAGGTTGTGAAAAATATAGGAAGGTCGCTGAGTTCTGATTGCTTGGTATATAAAGGTAGCAAGGAAGTATAGACGGCGGTTGGATGGATAGAGCCACTTCAACATGGTGTAATACTGGGTTATATGCATATCCTGAGATTCCGAAAACAAAACATATTGAGCAGTTCATCAGGCGTTTAAGTTTGGCCTCAAATTCTGCCGAGAGTCCAGACAGCCATAGTCGAAGTGGGGGAACACAAGGGAGGAAACCAGGAGTTGTCGGGATTTATATGGAAGGAGATAGCGGGGACGTTTAAACTGTTTCAGGGTAGAGATGGTACGACAGGAAATTTGGGAAATGTTTGATCAAAGGTAACACCAAGGTTTTTTATGGAAGTATGGAATGAGATAAGTGAGTTGTTCAGGAAAAGATTGGGGAGTGTCGGTAAGGATTTGAGTAGTGAGGGAGTTCCGATCAGGATAGCTTTCGTTTTCTCGGAGTTTAGAGTGATTTTACTGTGGTTTGCCCAGGCACAAATTCCGTCTATATTCTATATTTTCTACACAATGATTTGTGTAGATATCAGAAATAATGTCAAGGTCGTGAAAGAAATCTATATTCTGATCACTTTATAAGAAGGGAGATGTACTTGATTGCAGGAACTATTCAAGGTATAGCTCTATCGTCTTATACCTATAAAACACAGTAGAGTGTCGATTATCCAAACGTTCAATTAACGGAACTATATTTTAAATGAAAAACAAAATGAGTTTTTCCTTGAATGGCTATAAGGGGAGCCCTAATTATTTCTCAAAAACTGGGAAAAAATGAACTTAGAATTTTAGTTTATATGAATTTGCGAAAAATAGGTTTCAAAGTAAAAAGAAACAACTGTTTCACTTTAGTTTTTTGGTTGTATTGTGTTGCAAGTGTTGTATTGTTAAATACATACCCTGTAGCACATATAAAATAAAGAACAAAAACAAATAAAAAGAATGTAATCGGTGGCAGTGGCATGTGCCCTATCCCAATGCTGCTGAGAACCCTATATGCCAGAAATGCTTTGGTAGGAGGAATAATAAAAAAAAAAGCTATCTACACGAAATGACATAAACAAGACCTTCATAAAAAAATTACAAATGGAGGTAAAAAATAAAAATCTATGAGGAGAAGAATGAGTAAAGAATAAAATAAAAATCATCGAAATCAGACGATTTGGTGCAGAGTTATAGTGTTCTTAATATTTAGTATTTATTGTACTGCAAAGATTTTATTGCATATAGGACTTTAAGATTTTGGAAATGGACCCTTAGTTCCGTGATACAGTATATAATGTATCAATTAGTAATTATTTTTTTAATTTCAAAAGATTTTATTTATTTTTTAATTAATTAAATTATTAATCTTATTTTTATTTATATAAATGTCTTCCATTAAACACATTTTGGAATGTTTGTCCATGTGCTTTAATTACATTAGCTTTTACTTTTAGATCTTTATTATTGAAGTTTATCATTTTGATTTTTTTAAAGTTTTCACATTTGATTTTTTTTAAATGATAAAGTAACATACATCCTGATTGGACTAACTATTCCTCCCTGACAATTTGAGCCTTTTGTCTTCTGCCATCATTAGATGTTCAAAGGAATGTTTAGAAGTGGTTGTAAATTTATGATAATCCAGTGAAGTAATAAGCTAATATTTAAATTAAAGTTTAAAAAAAACGTAATGGTTAAACCAGACTGTAAATCATATTTATAAACTGATGGCTTACTAACTATGTATTAAACCTTTGTGTATCAAACTTTATTGAATGAAACTTGTGCTGAGCCCTTAATGTATTAAAATCAGATACAAATATTACGAGCGGGTCAGCTAGTATATCAAAAAGCATATAAGGCTGAGAAAGTTGAGGAGGACTGACCCTGTAGCTCATATGTCAGAGGATGATATATCCAGAAAAATGATAAGTAAGACTGTTCATCATACCAGACACATGGACAGCATAATGAAGTATTTTTGGAGAACCTTGAGTGTAAGAGATTAGATAACAGGTGCCCAACAATATTTCAGACTGGCCGAAGAAATCGGGAACCTAGTATTGGTCTTTCAAGCCAATAGAAGAATGATCTTAGATAACTCCTACAAAACTTTCTAAATATCAACATTAAGCCTTCGAATCCATAACTTCTTTTAGAAATATTGATTGCATATTTTATCACTGAAGTATTCAACTGTTTATGTTTATGAAACTCTTAATCTTGAAGAAAAAGTTCATTCTGTGTAAAAACTATTTATTCAGAAATATTAGGTTGAAATTATTATAATATTAATGATGAGATTTAATTTGATATAGTTGCTGGTCTCAAATTAAATACCACTTTGAAAGAACTTTATTTGGGTGAAAACTACTTGGGATCTAGTGATGGTCTACAATTGGCAGGTCTTTTGAAATGTAACACTACCCTTCAGCTTCTAGATCTCAGGTTAGTTTTTAATTATATCATGAATATTTATGATCAAAAAAAGAATTTTTTTTTTTACTAAAACTATTAGAATTATTGAAAATTTTAATATGCTGATGTAGTTTGGAATCATTTTATCACTTATAGCAAAAAATTAATAGTACTCTAGTTTTATTGTGCTGTTAAGTCAGAGCTGGTCAATATGATTAGGGAAAAAATATAAATGAAGTTATTATTTTATAAAGAAAAATTGGTCAACAGATTATGATTTTATTGCAGTAACAATGGACTGGAGGACAGTGGTGTTGCGCATATCTGTGATTCCTTATGTGAACAATCTAAGCCTGCTGGACTGGGGATTTTGGTTCTCTGGAACAACAAGTTGGGTCCTGCTTCAGCATATCATGTTGCGAAAGCTCTGGTTTGTAAAGATTTCTGCTATAAATATCTCATATATTTACAATTTCAAATTTTCCTTCAAAAGGTTAATTTTAATATCTATCAACCTCTAATGAATATGCATATACCAAAATATTTTTATTTTTCAAGTTTATTATACATCAAGGGCTAGACCCACTTTCCCTAAGGCTTAATTTGATTTATGAAATTAAGTATATTCTCTTGTTATGTTACTAATTTGCTTTCAAACATTTTTAGAGAGGAAATGATACCTTAGAAGTGCTTAACATAGGACAAAATGATATAGGTGATCAGTTCCTGAGAGATATTCAAGATTCTTTGATTGAAAACCGTAATCTTTTAAGGCTGGGCATACAATCGACAAATATCAGTGGAGAAGGAGCTTTGACATTGGCACATGTTCTTACAAAAAATTCAACCCTACAGGTATAATTACATCTTATTGTGTTTGGTTATACTTTTTGGCTGATTGAGTTAGTAACTCACTTTCAAGTATTCATCAAAACATAGAAAAGAATGCAGCCTATCTTTTTGTTGAATAGAGATTGGCACACACTCTTGCTTGGCTTAGCTTTATCGCTGTAATAATTTAGAACATATTTAGTATAGTCTGAGTAATTATGGAATTATCTTTCTTAGTGGTTTATTAGCTCTAGACAGCACAACAATTTTCAATTATCATAAAAACCAATGTTTCAAGTTGCCATTCTTGTATTAATCCTTATTACAATTTTGGTTATACCGTAAGTGCCTATATATGAGAAGTATATAACCTATAAGTTTGTAATTTGTCTAGTTAAAAAGTTAGTCAGTATTTGTTCTGTCTATTCTTTAAAAATTATAAATTATTAATTATGTTTTAAGTTTCAGATGTGGAAAATAAATCAAATTCTTACATATACATTTCAAATTGATGACCTCTTTACTTTATTTTTTTAGAGGATAGATGTAAGGGATAATAATATCGAAGTAAGCGGTGTTGCAGCATTTGCAGAAGCATTAAAGCAAAATACGTCTGTTACTCAAATTGATTTGGATGACCAGCCTAGAGGAAGAATAGTAAGTAAAGAAATCTTATCATAATTTGAAATTTTTCATGATTTTTTATCTAATTGGGCATCTACTGGGAAAGTTAAATTGTTGCTTAATATTGGACTATTCATTATTCCATATACCTTTTCCACGCTTTGAGCTCTATCTCCATCATTTTCAAATAATACACGGACAAAGGCTTTAAATTGGTCAAAATTTTCCCCATAAAAAACAGCCACCTCAATCCATATACCCCATCTTGTTATCACAGGTTGGGGAGGTAATTGCTTTTCGTTCATCATAAATTTATATTTCGTAACTCTTGATGGGGATTTTAAAAACTTTTTTTTCCATTACTGATTAATTTGTTAACATCTGGAAATAGGAAACGAATTTTTTCTGCTTTACACGTAACTGTAAGATAATTGTAGACGCCATTCCTCATCATTTAAATAATAAGGAATGATTGCTTAAAAATGTCAGAAATGTTGCTGTATAATGGAGAATAAAGAATTAAAAACTAAATGAATTATGAATAGTGTTCTAGTATATAATATTCTATTATTATACTTTAACTGTTGCAACCTAAAAAACATACGTTTTATTAACTATTATTTCGACTGTATTAACTATAAGTATGAACATTGGACATTGTTGTTATTAATAAAAACTTCACTATTATGTATTATTTTGTAGCAAAAAAAAAATGTTTTTTTCATTGGCACTGCCTCTTTTTGTTGCACCAAACACTTCAATACTTTATTTTGTTCATTTAAATGAAACAGAATAAGAAATATGCTGAATATAATTGATGATTTTTTTTTAAATATTATTTCCAGAGTGATACATTAGAAAAATATTCTGAAACAGTTGATGAAGTGAGGTCTGCATGCTGTAGAAATGAAGCTGGAGGGGATGAAGCACTTCTTCGTGCACGGCTGTCTGTCATGGCTGCTAGAAAGATCTCTCTTACCTGTGATACATTGCGACCAATTTCAAAGTCACCATCCCCGCAGCCACCATCACCATCATATCCACAGCAATCATTCCTTCAGGTTATTTTCCAGTCTAAAATTAACTCTGATCAATTTAATTTTACAGCTTGACTTACACAATCTATCAGGAATGACAGTCTGATTAAAAATTCTGACTGTCATTCATTACTTCAAAACACAAAGGTCTTTGTATTTGTCTGCCAATCTGATTGGTGTAATTTTGGCCCAGTTAACATTGAGACATCAAATGCGATTATATCATGCAATTTGTAATGAAGAAAATCTTGTGATGGCCATTGGGCTGCAGAAGAAGAGAGGAACACACAGTACCATGTGATGTGGCATAGCTGTGGGCGGAGGGGAGAGGGTAGGTGGGGCAGCTACATAAACAGTATGTATGGTAAACGTTTTTAAATTTAATACAAGTTTCTTTACACCACCGATTTTCCTTGTAAATAATTTGGAGATTCCAATGCTTTCTGTATCCCTTGTTTACTTTACTTTTTAAAGATAGTTTTACCATGTCCACATGAAATATGATAACTTCTATTTATTTTTTACTGAACTGCTTCAATTTTGTTAGGTTGGTGGTGAGACAAAAAGAGGGGGTCGCCTTAGAAGCCCAGCACCATCACCTATTCCGTCGCCCGTTGCATCTCCGTCCCCCACAAGAACTAGGTACACTTAAAACTAAGTTCTCACTAAATTGAATAATTATAATGAGTTACTTTTGACTAAAAATGTAATATTAACATTTAATTTCTATATTTTAATGTACTAATCTCTTTTTTGTTGATTTTATTTAAATTGGTTAATTTTAAAATATCAATATGACAATCATTATAAGATTATGCACAATTAAGCCTGTTGAATGTGTGTCCAGTTTTTAGTTGTACTTTTTGTACCTAAATGACTGTTAATTATGTTTTGTCTCATTGTTATTTCTGTAGATTCCAGGTTTCAAGAGTTAATGAAGACTCTCCCCCAGAAACTCCTCCTGTCTTTAGTTTCAATCCATCTAGGTCAAGGTTTAAAGTGACTGTAGTTGAACCCAGCGGAGAACAACAACATTCTCCTTTTATACCTCAGCCAATTCACTCTCAGCAACAACAGCAAAATCCAAGTACTCCTCCTAGAACTAGAAAATTGGCATCATGGGTTCCAATGGTGAGTATTTCATTACTTTATTTTTTTCATTTGTAGGTAGCAAAATTAAGATCTTCTGTATAGTATATTTCTAAGTTAACTTTTTAGGACTATATCTCCCGAAACATTTTAGCTAAGGACAAAAATCTGCAGATGTAATTTCATTAATTTGAAATTAACAGAAAAACATGCAATGAAAATTATTGTGAAGTTAGTAAACTGTGGTATTTAGGAAGTTTTGAAAATGGAGATAATGCCCTGCAACATTAACTAATATATACATTATATGAAAGGTATTAATTTTGCTACCTACAAATATTTTATCTATGAAAATTCTTGGAATTGGAGCGTTTGGCATGACCTACAACTCCAACGTATCGTCAGAACGACGTGAGAATTCATGAACATCTGGCTTATTTTCACATCAATGGTTAATAAAGATGAGTGCAATCAAATGGTCATAGCGGTCTACAAAAATATTGGGTCGTTTTCAAAAGAAAAAATATTGTCTCAACAACTATTAGGTTTTATGCAAATATCATTCTGTACATAATTAAAGTACTTCAAAATCTCAATAAAAATTGTTTAATATATTTCCTTGATAAAATCAATGGTTGCGAAGACATTAAAGAGACAAAATTAATAGAATTGCACTATCAGTAAAAATTGCATTATCGTTTAAAAGAGAATTAATAAGAGTTCATCCAATGAATAATCCAGTAAACGTAAACACTTTGATATATAGAGGAATATTTTAAAGAAAACTCAAAATCCTGTATTATTTTCCGGACAATCCAATACTTGGATTTACTGATCTAATGAACGTTATTGCCTCAGTTCAGCTTCCTATCTGGGTTTAATAAATAAGTTTTACAGTTTATTGCATGTAGTATTGTATTTTGGTATTCAATTTTGTTGTTTACAATTTTTTTTCTTTGTTTCTTAATCACTTAAATAAATTTAATTGTTTCTTAAGAAATGTCTGAATCTAAGATGTTTTGTTTGAATTTGGTTATGCTAAATCATTAGAGAGTAAAACAAAGTTTTGTAGATTTTTTTGTGAAAATTGAGGTTTTTTGTTTAAAAATAGTCACGAATTGATTACTCATAATATTGTTAATATTTTTTTGATCAAGTTGGAGGAAAGGTAGTTATATTGGTAAAAAACAAATGATGCTGTATCAATTTTATTGAATTTTAATACTTTTACGTAAATATGTATAACCGTATTTTCCTTGATGCGGCTATACCTCAAAAACCGCACGTTCCATTTGGTCCAAATTTGGAGGGAAGTTAGGGCTTGATAAACAGAGGATCAAGTATGTATCAATTTTATTCACTACTATAAAAAAATACCTCTGCTTTCAGAACTGCAAGCATATTGTTTTTGGCAAGCTGATAGTTTGAAAACGGCACTTTTGATTTGACCCAAACTTGAAGGAAATTTGGAGAATAGCATGGAGATTGCCTAGTATCAATTTCATTTAATTCCATTTAACAATTAAAATTAATATAAATAACTGTTAAGAAGATAAAGGCTGTGAAACGTTGAAGGCATTGATCGTATAGAAAGGGAGATATTAGGATTATGCTATTTTTTATGAGGTTATAAAATTTTAAATTGTATTAAAAAAGTTAATTTAAATTATATTATTTGGTCGATTGCATGTTTGCTGAACATGACATTTACTTATAAGTATATATATATGTAATTTTTTTTTTTTTTATTGATGATATTTACAACTGTATTACAATTGAATAAAAGTAAAAATACATTCAGTAAATGTGAACAAAAGAATATAATAACATGAAATCACTTGTTGATAAACTACCCACTGGTAGCACTCTAAAAATGTATTTACAAAAGGAGATCTCGAGGCCATCTTCTTTTCAGAGGCCTCGGAGGGTTGTCAGGGATTGAAGAGGAAGCAAGGTTAGAAACGAGAGGGTTTGGATGGTTCTGAAGTTTGTTATGGAAAGATAGGTATCTGGATTGGGCCAGGTCAGAAACATAAGGAACATTCATAAATTTACATTAATTTTTGCTCATAGTTTGTTAAAAAAAGTCTTCTTGTGATTCTGTTTTTCTTTTGAAGATCAACCAGCTCAACGTGTCTTTGATATCTCTGTTAAACATTAAATTAGTAAGGGGTCGTATTTCACAGTTTAAAGAGTTGTATTTAAATGTTTATAAATTAAATTTTGTATAGATCTTCTTTTCATGTAATTTATAAAGTTCCCTCATATTGTTATATTCCACCTTACATTAGTTTTGTTCTGTCTGATGCACCGGTTTTGTTAACACCAAACAAACAAAAAATTAAATTTTTTCAATGGAATTACATTCCATCCATTTTAATAGTAAAATACCTATTAAGTACATATACATTTTCAGAATTCCCAAATGTGGAACTCTTGGCTGATGAATAAAACTCGCTTGAGTCAAATCCACAAATGTTGAATGATTAATGTATTTCCGAAAAAGGCTTCTTCCAAAGATTTTATTCTCAAACCGACAATTATAGATCTTGAAATATAAATATTTGTATAGCCAGTGAAAATGACGAGGAAGCTATATATTGATCTTTTTTGGCAGACTTTCTTCTTTAGTATTATTAATAATTAATATTGCTATAGTTAGTATTGCTCATTAATTCTAGATATGATGGGGAAGAATTGAGGAATATGAGGAATGGTTGTACGAATTCTTTATTTCGAACCAAGTTAATTATTTTTTCCAAAGTTTCTTATTATCCTTTAAATTATATTTTATATTATTACAATTTTAGGTCTCGCCAGGACTTGAAATTAAAGCTGCATCTGGCTTGGAAAAGCTTCTAGGATTATTCCAGAATCCATTTACAAGAGGAGCCCAAAGTGGTAACACCGTGGATAGCAGCAGCGATGGGGGCGGAGCTACGTGGCCTGCAAGCAGGGCTGCTCCACCTCCTGTTGAAACGAGTACACATTCTGCTTCTCTTTCTCATCTTACAGTTATACCTCCTACTGGTAATACTTCAATTAGCACTCATATATTTTGAATTTACTTCTAAGTCTTTTTTAGTTTATCTTATCTATTTAATTAAATTTTGGCAACCAATCAGCTTTAAAATTTTATTTTATTAGTCAAAAACCTAGTATCCAGTGTGACAAACTTGTAATGAAACAGAACACTCTTTAAATTGTTTTATGTTTTAACTATAATATGATTAAAGATGAAAATTGTAATGTATGACTAGACACACAAAAAAAAAAAAAAAAAAAAAAACTGTCACTGGATACTGTTAATAAGATGTTCTGATGATGAAGAAAATTATCATAAACGTTAAAAAAATAATATTAATTTGTTTTGACTATTAAAAAGTTCAGTTACCAAAATTTAATGAATATATCTTGAAAGGGATAGGAGCTTTTAAAACTGTAATGGTACAGTGGACCCTTACTATTATGTGGGATGAGAAAAAACAAAACCTCCCATGTTTTAGGGCTACTCACTGTATAGCAGAAGCAGAAAAATATAAATCAATGGAAGAACAAACATGTATGTGATTACAAATATTTTATTAAACAAGTTTTTCTCTTATTGCTCAGGAAGGGTTCAACTTGTTCCAGAGGCATCGGTGGCCTAAACCTTACCAAATAAAAAAAAAGGAACAAAATTGGTCCACCCATTTGCGAGATAATCATCACAGGCAGATAGACCAATGTCTTAAAATGTGTTTTTCAGACTATGAAACTTAAAGATCCATAGAATACTGCACATAGATAACACTGCCATTCAAAAAATTTGTTTTTGTGTGTATTTTTTATGAAAGCTGTTTCTGTTGACAAATTTTGATGTGAGAAACTCAAATTTTCTGTCAGAATCCTTATATTAGCTACTGTTCTGCAGATATGTATACCCAGTATCGAATACAAAAAATGAAGTTATTGGAAATTACACGATCATTTTTTAGGCTTTAAAAGTGCTTTATTAGTTGTGAAATATTTTTACCACCCACAAAACATTGAATTACAACTTCTCTTGCCTAGAACAGCACTGTTGTACAGTTTATTTAGAACGTTTCTGCTTTGCTTGACGATTGTACTGATGTTCTGGCAAATCCCTCACAACGTTCCAGAAGTAGTCTACGAGCATTTAAGTATCTCACTGACCTTTATATCTTCATTCCATCGAGGATATATCTTGGTGAAATCGCTCACCATATTTGTTACTTAGAAATCCACAATTTTCAGGAAAGAAGTCCAAATGAGAGTGAAGAAAGTGAATCTTGAGTGACATGTTACAATCGAGATCTCTGTACTTCTCAAGGAGAGTTTGGACTTAGACAGCATAATTGTCCTCTCTTTTGTTGCCCAAGAAACCATTAACTAAATCTGTAAAATCTTCCCATGCTGCTCTTTCTTTACCCTGAAGAATATTAAAAAGTTTCCTATTATTAAGATGCTCATAGATACACCCTCTTTAACCTTAGCTTCGCTTATGTGAAGAAATTTTCCTCTCAAGTATTTGAATGCCTGTCCTGATTGGTTCATTCTTTTTGACATTTTTCATGAGCCCTAACTTTATATGTAGTGGAGGCAAAATGATTTTTTCAGGGTCCACAAGAGGGTTGTAGAGAACATTCCAGGAATTCCCTTTGAAGCATGATTCTTTTTCTTTCGAGCATGTAATGAGATGCTCTGTCCCAACTGTCCCACCCACATAAGAAACAACAGTACTTAATATATCTCTGTTGCATGCCTAGAAGAATATCCACCACTTACAGGTCCCCACAGATTGGTCGTCCTGGTATTTGATGAATTTTAGAAGGGTTTCCATGTTTTGGTGAGTTTCTTTCATGAGTACAGCATAGCCAATAGGGATAGAGGGAAGTAAATTGCCATTGTGCCACAGAACTGCCTTGAGGGATAGCTTTGATGAATCTGGGGCATCACAACAGGCAACAAGGTTCTCATACTTTTTGAAAAGGGGGATCAAGTCTTTCTGACGATTTCTGTACATTGTAATCTTTACACCAGGTTGTAAGAAGTTCCACTGCTTCAATCTTAAACCCAAAAGTTCTGCTTTCGCTTTGGGCAGATCCAGGTCCCAAATCAAGTCACTAAATTCAACTTGAGTAAGCAAGTGGGGTTTTCCTTCTTCTTGTTAGAAAGAAAAATCAGAATCATCTGATAGAGTTTCAAGAAGATTTTCCTCTTATTCATCCTCATCCTCATTCAAGTCATAGTGTTCAGGAGGCCTTGGAACAGGCAATTCATCCCCGTGTGGTATTGGCTGTACAGCAGAAGGAATGTCAGGATATTTCACTTTAGATTTCTTTTTTTTTTTAGACATTCCATGAGGAAGAGGAGGGGTCATGCAAAAGTAGCAGTTGTCAGTGTGATTAGTAGGCTCCCTCCACACCATGGGAACAGCAAAACACATTGACCGACCTTTCGTGTTCAACCATTCTCTTATTAATCCTTCTATAAAATAAGGTCGTGAAACCGATATATTACTCTTCGGAATATCGGTATTTGTCCCGATTAGGGGAAGAGGAGGGTCAGCCAAACTCTACCAACTTTAATCAAATAAGGTACTGAGACCGATATATTGGTCTTTGATCAAATTTATGTTTATGTTGATCCCTTGACAAATGATTGACACATTTATGAGCAATAAAATAATATTCAATATGAAAGTGCCCAATATATAGGTTTAAATGGATGACCAGAAAATTGTGCAGTGGTACACACAAAATATTAAATAGATAAAAAAGAAGAAATCAAATTCTACTAATCTTGATAAAATAAGGTCGTGAGGTCGATATATCGGTATTTACCCAAATTAGGTGAAGGAGATGGCCAGAAAAAGGAAATTAAATTAAAATTGGTCCAATGCTACCAATCCAATTTTATTAAAATATGGTCATAAGGCCTATATATCGGTCTTTAGGATATTCGTATCTGCTGAAAAACAAAAAAACTATAATAATCTCATCTTACTTTAAGACTTATCAGATATTGGAAACATGTCTAAATCTGAATTGGCGCCTAAATGAGGGTTCACTGTATTTGAATAGTGGTAACTGTATTTAACTTAATCATCATATGTTTCAATACATTATATATATATTATATTATAATACAACTAATTATATGTTGGAAAATGTCATGATCTTTATCTTTTTTTCTTTCTTTTTTTTCAGGTTGAAAAATGTCATAATCTTAATATTTTACAAGAACCTAATTTTCTGTCAAGAGAATTTTTATGGCACTGGCTGTTACTGAAAGGTTGTGGTAGTCTAAAGGACTAAAAGCAAATCAGCAGGCCAGTGAAGTAAACTTAAAAAGAAAATAAAAATTCTTCATACTTTATATAAATAATTATATGTACTGACATCTTGTTTTTGAACATATAATGAAAACTATAATCAGATGTGATACAGTTCCATGAAACATTCCTTTTCTGTGTGGAATTCTGAATAACTTTGTTCTCTATACGAATGAGATAATCTGTGCATACAAGACGGATTTTATTAGTACAATTGATTCCAAGGATTAAATCAAGGAATCCTTTGCATTATTGAAATATTTAAAGTTTTATCGAGCATATTTTAGGAATATTAAGATAATTTAAATACTTTCCTGACTCTTATTTGTATAAGTTTTTGTTGGAAATGCTAACTTTTCTTATATCTATACTAATTAAGAATCCAGCAGTTCTGATTACTGGCCAGATACTTAAAAAAAATAAAAAGAGTAAAAATAAAGAAGAAATTTTACCATTGCTGTAGTTCGTAGTATAATTTAAACTTGTATAGCTTTTAGGTTGTTCTTATTCTTAACTTATTTTGAGCTGTGGTGTATGATTCTTATGAAGAAGGTCATAATCCTTCTATAAGTATTATTTATATCATTTTTTGTCGTGTGATTTTATATGTGATAGAATACTACAAAGGAGTATAAAAGTTACTTTAATTTACCAGAGATTATTATTTAAAGTTGTTAGAGAGTTTATTATAAAACAAAAATGAGAAATGTATAACATTTCTTAAATATATATATATATATATGAGATATGTATGTATGTGTGTGTATAAATATAAATACATACATATGTGTGTGTGTCTATGTTTACATGATATATATATATAGATACATGTGTGTGTACTTACATGTATATTTATATATATTTGTTTAAGTGAATGAATTGTGTGATTTTTATTAAATGATGATGCAATTAGATAAAAATATATACCTACTATATATTATTGTAAAAACTATATCACCTATTCAGAGTATATAAGAATAAAGAGTTCATTATAAGTCCTTCACAATTAACTCAGTTCTATACCAAAAAAGAATAAGTTCTTCAATTCTATTTTTATTTATAATGTTTGTTGTTTTTTTTTATTTCTGGACAAACTATTTCAAGTTTAAAATTATTAAGCATATATGATCTATTTGCCTTATTTAATTCCTTGACTATCATAAATTTATATAATTCGATAAGGTTTTGAAAATTATGAAAAAAAAAATTTAATTATTAATATACCAAATAGTTCTAGTATATATACTAACATGTACAATGAGTTTGTGAGTTTATAAATATATTTTGTTTGATAAAATTCCAAATATTTCAAGTTTAATGATTAGGTGTATTTCTTCTTAATTTGTATATTTATGTAAATGGTCAAAGTTGTGTAAACAAAGATCTAGCCCATAACTTCTTGATAAATTCACAAATTTCAGTTTATATCTGTTTAATATTCTGGTAATAAGTTTTCTCAAAATTTAAAGAAAATAATTGGGGGAAAAAACAATAATTTTTTCAGATTAAAATATAAATAAGCACTGATCTAATTCCTAATTCTTTAATTTTTGTGGGTTGAATTTTTTTTTTTTTTTTTTTTTTTTTTTTTTTTTTTTTTTTTTTTTTTTTTTGTCTTACAACTAAAACCTCATAATCTTTTACGTTTTTCTTGAGAAATTATTAATTAAGAACAAGTATTAATTTATTTCTTCCTCTACAATTTGTTTTATCTAATTCAGATTAATAAATAATATTAACTCTATGATTTAGATCTTTGTTTTATATATATATATATATATGGGTAGTCTATGTTAATGCAATTAATTACCCTCTCCCTTATTATTGTTTAACTTCAAATTTTTTTTTTTATAATACATCATGTATGATTGAAAATAGTTCTAACTTTTATACTTATTTTTATGAAAAAATATTTAAATCTTAATAAAGA